TATCATAGCTGTCCTTTTGTACGGCAGCAAATGCAGAAAAAAATCCTAACAGATGAAGAATTGAGTCGAAGCGACAGAAATGTGGTTCTACAGACGATTGCAGAGAAAACTATACATAGAAAACGTGTGCAACAATAAAAATGGAAAGAAAATGGGAACTAGACGAACAGTTATACTTCAAATCAGAAAGAGACAGTTGAAATTTCTGCGACATATTAGTGAAAAGAGTCAGTTATATAATGGGTTTTGTTAAATGAGAGACAAGACGAAGACAAAGAGGTAAAGTGTCAAACGTTTCTTAGAGCAACAAGGGCAGGAATTTGTGGAGAGTCATGATCATTCACTTCCTGAAGGAATAAAAGATTATCAAATTGGATATCAGGGAACATACGAGATAATGCCACTAGCTCGTTTAGATATCTTGTGCTCTGATTGAAGAATCACTCAATATGTTGGCTGCCCAGGGGCCACATAAAATGTTGAGCTTTTTGGCCTTCAAAAAAAAGAAGAAACTTTCTTATGGAAGCTATCTGATGGAAAGCCGCCATTTTGGAACCACCTTGTCTGAAATCAAATCGCTTGAAGAAGATAACGTTTTGTCAAAGAAAGAAATTTTATGGCGTTCAAAATATTCAACCTGTGATTCCGAATTTCTAAATATAACAAAAATAATAACGAAATAGCTTGAAATGAAATCATCCTAAATACCATGTAATAAAAAATAATAATAAAACTATAACATTAGGTTATAATGATATACAGTAATAACGATAATATAACATAATATAGTATCATATATACATATATAATAATATAATAGGATAATAAATAAATAGACAGTTACATCTTTCAATAAAAACATCATATTTTAACATAATTATATACGTTTTATTCGGTTCGGTTGGTTAACATAGTGATATATAGATCCTCGTTGAGATATTTAATATCGAAAATAAGGTAAAGATAAGTCCAGTTTATACTCGACTCAAATAGGTAGACATAGACTAGGTTTACACTGGAGTTAAAAAGGCAGACATAGGCCCGTTTTACATTAAATTCAAGCAGGCAAACAGGCTTGATTTATATTCTAGTCAAAAGGTGGACAAATCTCTGGATGAGCAGAATTGTGTAAATTCACTAAGATGAGGTTGGGAACTTTTGTATCAATCTAACACGCACGTACACGCGCACAGAGAGAGAGAGAGAGAGAGAGAGAGAGAGGTTCGGCTATCGCACGATTCACACTCCTCTCCGGTCTTTTGAACAAGAGTAGAGGTTTATCAATTGTTTCCGGTTTAGGATTGGGTTTCCGGTTCCTTCTAAAGTCACCTTCAGCTCTATACTCTTAACACTTGTTCTTTCCTAGGTTAATATAAGTCCACACAGTAACCTTCTACATGGAGTTGCTCTTGGGCCTTGTACTGGGCGAACATTAGTAAAAAAACCAAAAAAAAACCAAAGAAAAACAACATTTGTACGTATATATATATATACATATGTGTGAATATGTGGCTTGCGGTTCTGCAGTCCTCCCCACCCGAAGAGGGCTCCCCATACGCCTACTTCAATGGGGACTTGTCACATTAACAGCCACTTTCATACGTTTGCACGCGCAATAAAACCTTTTGACGAACAAAGTCAGACTTAAGTAGCGTTTGCTCAATTATTTAAAAAATGACGATTTGCTCTGCCACGCAAGACCAAGAGGCAATGTTGCTTGGTGTCAAATTCGTACTTATTCTGTTTTTCTGTCACTTTTCCAATCTCTCTTCTTTGCTTTTTTTTTTTCATTCATCCTTCTTCACTTTTCTTTCTTCTGTGTATTTTTCTTTTATATATTACCTCGGCTTTTCATTGTATATTTCTTTCTTTCTTTCTTTCTTTCTCCAGTTCCATTTATATTTAATTTCTGTCTTTCTTTTTTTTTCTTTCTTTCTCCGGTCTTTCTACGGTTTCTTTCATATCGAATTCCTTTCTTTCTTTCTTTCTTTCTTTCTTTCTTCCTTCCTTTCTTTCTTTCTTTCTTTCTTTCTTTTCTTTCTTTCTTTCTTTCTTCCTTCCTTTCTTTTCTTTCTTTCTTTCTTTCTTTCTTTCTTCCTTTCTTTCTTTCTTTCTTTCTTTTTTCTTTCTTTCTTTCTTTCTTTTTTCTTTTCTTTCTTTCTTTCTTTTTTCTTTCTTTCTTTCTTTCTTTTTTCTTTTCTTTCTTTCAGTCTTCTTTTTTTTGTTCCTTCATTTTTTAAGTTTATCTTTATATTTCTTAACCTTATTTCTTTTTTCATTTATATTTAATCCATATTCTTCTTTATGCATTTTATTTTCCTTTTCTCTTTTTAAATCGTTTCTTTCTCTTTCATTTTGTCTTTTTCTTACTTACCGACTTTTTCTTGCTTACCAACTTTTCCTTTCAAAATAATTTTTGATCTTTTCCACTTTTTTCTTTGTTTTCCTTTCAGTAATCTAATTTTTCCTTCTTTTTAATCTGTTGCTTTTTATCTCATTTTATTTCCTTCCTTCCTTCCTTCCTTCTTTCTTTCTTTCATTCTTTCTTTCTTTCATTCTTTCTTTCTTTCATTCTTTCTTTTTTATTTATTGATCATTTTTCATTCTTTCTTTTCCATTTAATCCATGCCTTTCTTTCCGCTATTCATCATTTCTTTCTTTTTCATTTCATTTCATTCATGAATTAATTCATTCATTCATTCAGTCATGTTTTTTTTTAATCATTTGTCTTTCCTTATTTCTCACCCTTATCCATTTCTTTTATTTCTCATTCATGCTGGGGTTTTTTTTTTCATATTTTCTTTTACTGAAACATTCAGACAGACACTTCAGAAATACCACACGATATCCAAGTGTTTTAGTATAGCAATTCCCACATTGACAAACAGAAGTGAAACATATTAGTTTCCTTCATTCTTTCTTTATTTTTTTCTTTTACGTTTCTTTCTGGGTGGTTCAAAATATTAAAGTGATTATCGTCTGCAAGTGCAACTTCATACAACACTAAGAAGACATAATTTCCATTCATTTCACATATTATCAAACATTTATTTATTTCTCGAAATACTCTTCATAGATTTTAAAATTTAAAAAAAAGATAATTGATAATTGCAATTACAAAATTTCCCTTTCGTTTAACAAGACAGACATATTGTTACGGATTTTTTCTTCTTTCTTTTCTGATTTAACATTAATTTTTGTCATTTTTTTTATTCAAAATGGTAACAAATTCATTCAAAATACTTTAATACTACAAATAAAATCATAAGCAATAAAATGTTCTCTTAAGCAGAAGGTAATTCGAAATAATATAAATTGCGCCTTTGAAATGTCATCAACAAGCATACAAAGAAAATATACGTGTTTTTCGGAGAGAAAGCCACTTCTAGCTTTGGTCAATAAATAATATACTTTAATGGAAATCCGAATTGCTAAACCGTCAACCGTATAATAATAAAATGTAACAAATTAACTAAAAAGAATATAAGCATAGGCATGAATGGTTAGGAACTGTGAATCACTGCGAATTGTGCAAACGATTTGGTTTTGACTATGAAAATGAATGGTATACAATGCATTCCAACATGTTACATTTTTCAAATATCTTCTTATTGAATGTATACATTTGTAATCAATTCGGCCTATAGTGTGTCTCACCCAAGATGACGCGAAAATAGATTTTGCAGGTGGATCGGCGAGTCGACTTGAGAAATAAGATCCTAACCACTAAGTGCACATCCGCGCTTCACCCGATGTTTGTGGCTGCCTCTGACATGCAAACACGTGGCCGACCAAATTGCTCCTAGAATGCGCATGTTTGGAAAATATAGCAGGTAGATATATAACCACCCACAAGAAAGAGAGAAAAGACAGCGAAAAGTATGTCACGTACTGGCGTGATGTAGAATCCATGTTCGGAGAAAGCCCCAAAGCTCCACACCCACTGAGGGATTTAAATGAAAAATGGTGTTACGTATGAGAGATTAAGTTTCGTGTTCTCATTAAAATTAACAATAATATTACAGAGCAAATGTTTGGCAATGCTGAAATGCGCAATCGTGTCCAATAATATCTGATTCTGCGCAACAACCAACAATTAGCGGCCATTTTGGTGATATAGCTTCATTACCATTTTTTCCAATTTTTTATTCAACGTGGTCCGTAAAGTCTGCTTCTGCAATGAGATATTCACTAACCGCCCGTGCGGTCGGATGCGGCACAACGCCAAGTTTATTGTGGGGGTATCCGAGCCCGTGGACTCGGTCAAAAATTCCCCGTAGACCCCGTAAAAAACGGGGTCGGGTAGCTGTCTCCCGAGACGAGACTCTACCCTTTGACATAGCCTCGTCTAGGGATCCTCTCTGCCCAGAGGCAGAGAGTTTAACCAGCACACTTCCGAAGTAATCCGGATAGTGATAAAAGTGAATTTTTAAGCATAGCTTAGATGTGGCACAAGGCCGAAAGTAAGGGGTACCCGGTGAGGATCGAACTCACTACTCATTTGTAATTATTCTAGCGAGAGAAGCTTGCTAAACATTACACTGCTACGAGGTGCCCATGGCAAGGCAAACATTGTTCAAATAATTCAAGTTAATTAAACAATATTCATTATTGTCATCATTAGTACTATGACCGGTATGTATGGTCGGGTATGGTCGTAGGGTTACTGCGCATCTGAGCAACTAACCATTTACTCCACATATCTAGGTTGAAAACCGGAGAAGTATTTCTTCGTGCATAGTATGTCTTGGCCAAGTAAACCTAGCGGAGCCTATACTTTTACCAGGTTAAATCACAACTGATGTCCTTCCCACTTTGGTCACAGGCACGTGGCCATTGATCTTATCAAAAGAAATTTTTTTCCCCTGCGGTTGACTTCAGTAGTTTATTTCCTCTAGCTATGCTAGGTCATGACTGCATCGTCTGCATACATAGCTGTGCGACCCAGTCTTCATTGTACTAGATGACCTTTTACTCTACAAGAATTTTCACCCGCCCTTTGACAGGTTTTACTTTTAATCCTGCTGAGTAACTATTCTTGAGAACAAAAAAAAAGAATGCATCAATCCAGTTTCACATGTTTAGATTTTATAAAGATTCTAAAAATAGCTTTTTAAAACAATAAAAATAGCTGAGAAAATATACAGATATGGCGATGTCAAAAGAAACACACCATTTTTAGCAGGTACGAATGTTAAACTTTGCCCAGAATTATTTGATGTTCATTCGACGAAATAAAACCCAGTTGAAAACTGAGATATGCAAGCAGTCAATTAACAGCAGTAAATGTGGGCCTTGGATGCTCACTGAGGCTTCATACGTTCGTTAAACGTCAGAATGAAAGAAACTGAAGCGTTTAGAAACATGTAGCAAAGCAATTGTTCTTGGTCCTTTGAAGTTGAATAATCTCATTAAACATGTCAGGGACGAAACGCGTTGCTATTCAATTACACACGCATGCGCGTGCAGACACTCACACACACATATACATAGATAGATAGATAGATAGATAGATAGATAGATAGATAGATAGATGATTAATTCAAGATTTTTTATATCAATAATGTTCTGAAATCTACAAATATCTGTATCTAAATCTTGAATACTTATATGTTAATATATATATATATATATATATATATATATATATATATATATATATATATATATATATATATGGAAAAATATTTACTAATTTTTTTATTGCGACGGGTCATCCTAGAATCAAGTTTATTTAAATAATGTATATTTTCCATTCCACCAAATTCACATCCAATTCTCTATCACTCGCTCTTTCTCTTTCTCGCACACACATACATAGACACATATCTATCTATCTATCTATATATATATATATATATATATATATATATATATTTATATATGCACATGTATATATATATGTATATATATGCACATATATATATATATATATTACATGTATATATATTTATATATACATGTAATATATATAAATTGTCGGACTTTGTCCATTTCTTAATGTATGACGTCATTTGTTTACATTTGATACGCCATGAGCAATTATGAATGTACGAGATTCATGGAAGATTGAAGTTTATAAGCAGTAAATTCGACCTTGCCAACCGAACGATCCTTTGTGGCCGAGAGGTTAGGCACGTCAAGCTAAATGACGGCTCCGTATAGGATGCAGATTCGAATCCTGTCAAATGACGAATATTTTCTATGAAATTTCTCGGACATTCAGGCCGGTAAATGTTATTTAATACTGTTTATTATAAACAGAGCATTTACTTAAATACTTGTATCTATAAAAAGAATGTTAAACATAAAAATGTCTTTAATAAATTGTCGGACTTTTTGTCCATTTCTTAATATATATATATATATATATATATATATATATATATATATATATATATATAGAGAGAGAGAGAGAGAGAGAATATTAGTGGTAAATATATATATATAAATATATATACATACATATATATATTTGTACAAAAAAAATCCAATAGGATAGAATCCAGGTAGAACTCAATGTCCAGGACAGAGTAAGGATATAATAAAAAGGCTTAAACACTAATATTCCATGGTCGTAATTTATTCCATTGGAATCGTAAATACGATCCAATTCATCAGACCTACAAATTCAAAAAAAAAACAAAAAAACAACTTGAGTTGTTTTTTTCTGTTTTCTTTTGAATAAATTATGACCATGGAATATTAGTGTTTAAGCCTTTTTATTATTATTATTATTATATATATATATATATATATAGATATATATATCTTGGGTTGAGTTATAGAAAATGTCCGTTTGTCTTTATCAACGTTATTCTTCAAACAGTAAAGTAAAAATTACATATTATTCATCATTATTTACAATGACTTGTCACTTGTCCGGTGGCTCTTCAATGTCGTTAAAGTAAAATTCTGCAGACTTTGATGTGAAGATCTTTTTCATTGACTCTTTATTCCGGTTTTCATTAAAGAAATTTTCCCTCATCAAAGTATTTGCATCGAACGAGAAAGGTAATAATCGTTGGTGCAACATCAGGTGAATACGGCAGATGAGGTAGAACAGTCCAACTGAGTAACAAATTTTTTTCTTGATGCAAGTCGCTTTGCATATTTATGGAAAAGACCAACATTCTTTCTATTGATGAGTGTAAGTTGCTTTTCGACCAAAGTGGACATGTTGCAGCTGCCGGACGTATAAATATGCATTTAAACTTTCATTGCTTTTTACGAACTCTAAATTAAGCACCACACAAAAAAAATTACCTTTCTTCCATGGAGCTTACTTTTTCGGGTTGTTTGTGAAGTTATTTTGCTCTGAACATCAAATTCATGCTACGTATGATGTGTAGTTAGCGGATACATTTGTCATTACAATTGGTAACCTAAAACGGAAATTATTTATGAGCCAACCTAATGCATATATATATATATATATATAATCACTTTAAATGTTGTTATAGTAGATACTCGTATTTGAGTAGACGCTCCCTGTATTTA